TTTAAGATTTATTAGAGAAGAAGAATCGAGATATTTTACCAAAATATTGTCCTTATGACTGCTCAATTGATCTTCAAGAAGAAGCTCAACCGTCATTTGGATCAATTTACTATTCATGATAAAATAAGTTACCTGATCTCAAGGGATATATTAAAGAAAATCTCGCCAAGAACTTTGTATGCCATTCCAAATCTCTAGCAGGAGTTCTAATTTATTAGTGAAGAAAAATGATGGATCATTGGAGATGTTTGTCAATTATTAAGAACTCAAGAACATAACCATTAAGAATAGGTACCCGCTACCTTTGATACTTGGACTTCTTGATTAATTGAATTAAGCTAAGATCTATACAAAAATAGATATATGAAGAGCATACAATTTGTTATGCATCAAAAAAGGAGATGAATAAAAGATTGCATTTTGAACTACATATAGATATTTTGAATACAATGTCATGCCTTTTGGACTTACAAATACACCAACTTTCTAACATCTAATGAAGTTTTTTGACAATTTTTAGATAATTTTGTTTTTTGTTACTTACATAACATCTTAATTTATTCTAAGAATACAAAAAAACATGAATTTCATGTTTATTGTGTATTATAAAAATTAAAAGATACGAGATTTTATGCAAAGATAGAAAAATGTGTATTCCATACTACTCAAGTTGATTTCTTATAATACATCATTTCAAATGATGGACTTATGATGGATCCTAAAAAAATTCAAATTATTATGGATTAAAAGATTTTGGAACCGTTTTGAAATATCCAATGTTTTTGGAAATTACCAACTACTACAAGATCTTCATCAAGAACTTCTCTCAAGTTGTAGTTTTACTTACATGTTTGACTTGTAAAGACAAACTTCAATGGAATCAAGAAGCACGAGCAGCATTTGAAGTTTTGAAGATAATCTTTACTTTTGCAACAATCTTGTATTGTGTTGACTTTTCTAAGCCATTTTTTATAAATATAGATGCATCAAACTTTGCTTTGGGTACCATATTATTATAAATGAGAATAGATGATAAATTTCATCCAATAGTTTTTCATTCAAGAAAATTTTAAGCAGCTGAGATTAACTATGAAATTCATAATAAAGAACTTCTTGCAATTGTGGATTTGTTTCAGGAATGGTGCTATTATCTAAAAGACGCTTCTAATCCAATCATCATTTATACTGACCATAAGAATCTAAAATATTTATATCAACATGTATTTTAAATTGTCGCCAAGCCTATTAGAGCATATCTTTGTCAAGATTTGATTTTAAGATCTTTTATTGTCCTAGAAAACAACAAGGTTTGTCAAATGTCTTTTTTAAACGTTCTTATCTTGCACCAAAAAAAAGAGACATATCTTTTTATCAACAAAGAACGATTCTCTTGAAGCTAGAATACTTTCATCTTTGAGCAATAAAATCAATATTGACTATTGATTCAACTCTTATCAAGCAAATTCAATCAAGTATGTGTTTAGATCCTCTTGTTCATGATATCAAGAATCCTTCTTTTAAGTCTTATGATGCTTCAAAATTCAAGTTTAAAAACAATCTACTCTATTTCAAAAGATGCATATACATTTCAAAAAGAAAAGCATGTTTATGTGTTCTTTAAGCACATCATAATAATCTTGCAATGGAAGATTTGGCAAATCATTTATGTAAGCTACATACAACAATGAAGGCATGACTAAAAGAAGCTTAAGAACAACAAAAGACTAATGCAGATACTTATCACAAAGAACAACCTCATTTCTACGTTGGTGATAAAATATGGTTACTTTATTGTAATATTAAAACTACTTTCTCTTGTGACAAATTAGATTATTGTAGACTTGGACCATTTCTTATTTGTGAGCAAGTCAATCCAAACGCTTATCAATTACATCTATCAAAGTCTATGAAATCCATTCCATATTTCACATGTCTCTTTTAAAACCATATAAGACAATGAATATCTTAGGAAGAAGATAAGTACCACCCTCCTCTTATAGAAGTAGATAATAATCAAGAATTTAAGATAGAAGAAGTCTTAGATTAAAGGCAATGCGACCATAGGTTAGAATATCTTATTCATTGGTATGGATATGATATTAGCAAATGTACATAGGAACTAGAAAAAAATCTTACAAATGTAGCAAAGAAGCTCAAAGCTTTTCATCAATGACATCCATCAAAACCAAAATAAAGAATAACAAACCTTTGCTATAAAAAAAATCACAATTTAGGAAAAATTGTATCTTATCTTCTATCCTTGTTTGTAGTTTCTCTATAATTGTGGCATTAAGGAGATGGAGAACCAAAAACTAGTGGATTTAATTTAAAAGCCATCATTTGCTAACTTATTGAACAAGACATTGTAATTGTTATAGCCTTTAAGACGATGTAATAGGGATGAAGATCTTTAAGAACAACATCTTCTTCCTTGAATAAATGGCAAGATATAACGCGTTTGGTATCATGACCTAGGAAGAGATTCTCAATATTTGGTGATTTCATTAGAAGTAGGCACAACTCTTGATAGTCTTATAAATGTTTTGTTTGAAGAAAGTTCCATAGGTTTTAACAATGATTAAATCATAGGGTGGTCTTCTTGCCATGGAATAGACATTATCGATAATTGAGAAGATCTATCAACTACCTTCAAAAGGAACAAAGATTAGTATACGTTGAAAATATAATTTGTAGCATCTTAGACTTCCTCAAGATGTGATCACTGCTCCTTGTAGAACTCGTCTCTAAAAGAGGGGATAATGTCATATATATATATATATATATATATATATATATATATATATATTATAATTTTTATTTAAGTAATATGAATAGATAGAAATAGGTAAAAATAAATTAATTTCATAATACTTTTTGGAAAAACTTCCTAAAACTTCCTAGACATTGTTTTGACTTTAAATGTATTTGTAATTGATTGACAGGTTAGAAAATTTGTCAACAAATTAATCATGTGCCACACGTGTTGGTAGCTTGTAAAACAAGCTAGTTATATGGCACCCATATAGAAAACTTGCCTTACAAGTTAAAATATATGTTATGCAAAGTCAACACGTTTTTGGAGGTTCTATAAAATGTTGCCACATAGATCCTAAGTAGATGGTATATATAGAGGCAAGAGTGAAGCCTTCTTTACTCTTGTCAACTCCTTACTTGCTTCTAATTCAATTTCAAGAGTTTTTAGTTTCTTTGTCTTTTGGCAATAGCCATTCCAATTTCCTTTTTAATATACATACTTCTCTATTTCTATTTTGTCATATTTCTTTGAGAGAGCATCATTTGATTATTTGTTTTCATCAAGTTCTTGTCTTTAATAGTATATGGAAATGGATGGCATAAGAAATGTCCATAAAATAATAAAAAAGTATCCACCTAATAATTCTTTTAATATATGAATAATTCCAATTTTATTCAATATAGATAAAATATCTTCAAAGAAGATATGATTTATTTTTTTGAAAAGATAAAATAAAATTCCAAAATAAAAATATATTTATGAAATCATTAAACTTTCTAAAAACCATAGTTGTATTGAATGGCATAATATTTTGGTATTGTATATATATATATATATATATATATATATATAATAGCATTGAGTGTTTCTATGTCCATGATCATGTTTTTGTTGCATAAATTCCAACCAATCTTGTAAAAATAATGGTGATGCTCGACCTCTCCATTTTACAAGCTTGAACAAGTTTTTTCTCATTCCTTGCTACAAAACAAAGATTCCAAGACACCTAATATTCAATACATGTATGGATTTCAATTCCTAAAATAATTGCTCTTAATTAGATTTGTAGAAGTTATAAGAAACCTTCTCTATATCCTTGTGGAATTCAATTTTTGGTATGCCAGCTTGAATCTGGCTAAAAGATAGAAACAGAAAAATTAGTAAGATCATGATTGAATAAACAAAATAACAATTTGAATAAGCCAATAAGATTATCAAATAACAAGCATTTAAAAATACTTCATCAATGTGCTGCAGAACATATCGGATTTAGTATGAAATCTAGTTTTTGAACACTTTGGTGTTATTCATATATTTGATTTATTTCAACATTTAACCAAGATCACGAAACAGGAACAAAATACATCACCAAAACCAAGTATGGTTCGTACCGAAGATCACCTCTGTTTCACGTTCTAGTCTCTGGCCAGAAGTATCATTTAATTAGATGTGGCATTGGATTAGGATGCAAATTAGGCCATATGTTAGAGAGTAAATTCTTCCTTGGAGTAATATACATTAGTAGAATTAGAAGTCAAAACACAAATAATCAGTGAAAAATCAATTTAAATCATGGTGCCTCTTTCTCATGGTATCTTATTAGCACAAATGTTTTACTGCACCTTTCATCTTATCGACATGTTGTGCCAACGACAGGCTTGTGAGGTTAAAACACATGCCACATCACCATTCGAACCTTATTGAATGCTGGTTTCCACCTTCAAGTTTGCTTGTACAACAAGCAACCTAAAACAATACCAACATTCTCACAAGCCGCGCTTTGAAAGCCATCCAGAGAATACTTTGATAGCAAGCAAGTGATCAAACTCGACATCGGAAGTAGTGATAGATGTTGCAGAACAATTAAAGAAGTGCTTATCCTAAATCGTGTTGTGATGACACAAGCTATAAGACATCTGTACAAGTTTGACAAAGTTCAACCACTGAAAAGTGAAGTCGGGTACTACTGCCTTGTGGCCGAAGCCGAAAAGCCCGAGTTATAACAACCAACTTGTGGCAAGGAGGCAGGAGCTTGGGGACCAAGAAAACTGCATGTAATTACGTGCAGGGCTAGTGAGAAAGAAATGGTCAGTACAAGATAAGCGCAAGAAGTCTTTAATACAAATAACGGCTCACTGGGCTCACAGTTGGAGGTGGTCGAAGCACCGCAAAAAACATGTGAGGCCAAAAGCCGGGGATGCTGCAAGTCAAAAACATGGAGACAAAAGGACAATTGACCACCTGATTGATGAAGTGACTTTGTTTATTACACACATATGTGCAGCAGATGTGCAAGTTGTCAACTGATCATAAGAACAATGGTAATAATAACAAAAATGAGCACAAGGCAAAAATAAACTTCACCGGGATATCAAGTAGTTAAATTTTTGTTGTTGATGGGAGACCCATGATTGCCCAACGGCTCCAGAGACTCAAAGACAGAAGAGATGATGTACTGAATGCTCACTCCGGTGAAATGTTCCGTCAAACGTAGTGAAAACTACATTCATTTGCTGAAAGTAATGTACAGAGAATGCGGCTGTCATCTTTTGCTTTGGAAAGTAATCGGAGAGATGGAAAATGCCATCCTGCGTGCTGCAAACGCAAGCGTGAAGCGCTCATCTTCAGTCAAAGGTCGTTCGATGACCTTGATATTCGTGGGGTCCTGTACAGAATTGAACAAGACGAATAACTCATTATGAGCATAACTACTGGTATCCTTTCTCCGGAAGACCACTTCCTGTTACTACAATATGAAAATGTAACCAAGGTAAATTGATAGTAAGTCAGGGGGTGCATCACCTTCATACGAGGGCCAGATCGATTGTTAAAGTTGGAAGTGGCCACGTCGCCAATCTGGATTACGTTGTTGATGTTGCCCCATTGATCCATGTCAGTTGGTAGATTGTGCGCATGACGCCAATGGCCTCCAACTATAAATTTGTACATGTACCTGCAATGGTTCCTTCATACCATCAGCTGTCTGAAACATTTATCTGCAACACTTTAGCTTTTTCTTTTCTCTTACTACATAACCGATTACTGTGAAGCGTGCAAACAGCTTACCTGCCCTGAGGAAGGCGGAGGTTAACCGCAAACTTGGTCCCACTAACATGATTTGCTTTTATGGGCTTGGTCCAATCTGATGTGAACTCTCCAACAACTAGCACTTCCTCACCCTGCACACGAGAGCACAGAATCCAAATAAGTTACTATTACTCTCGTTCCTAACTTTTGAGAACTTTGTATAGACAAATACTATCACATCCCGTATATTACCAAGTAAATCATTTGTATGGTTCACAATAAACTATTCGTGATATTGCAAGCTGGTAAGGCCAGCTTACCGGGTTGCATCCATGGTTCCAGACAAACTGAACAGAATGGGTTGGAAGACCTTCGTGTTTACCCTCTTCAACCATCGCAATAAGGTCCCACGTAGCCCACACCAAGGCGGGCCTGCAAGTCACAACAAAACAACCCTTCAGTTGACAAGCAAGTTACACATTCAAAATCTAAAAATTCGATTTTTTAAAAAGGTGCTAATGAGACTATCAATAGACGCTTCTAGCTCCTAGAATTCCTCGTACTGGTCCAAAATAATATTGTAATACTGAACCTTTTGTATTCCGATTTAGGATCGACTAAGTTCAACTTACACTACGGCACTCAGGGTAGTCAGCGCACCTATCCGGGCCGGAACGGTGGAGAGAGGTGACAAAGTCGTAAGCTTGTGGAAGACTCACATCCTGAATCCAGTGTAAGTAGCCAATAACACAAGATGGAGCTCGATCAAGGCCAGTGGTGCATGTCACGTAAACACGATGACACCTTCGCAATAATCGATGAAGGACTCCAACTGCGTAAGGCAATTTCCTTCTCAAGTCAACCGTGTCTACGTCCCTGTAAATTGAAAAGTGGTCCTTAGTCACCAATTAGAAGATGGTGATCATTCAGACTATTTTAGATTTTCCAAAACGACAAAACATCTTTAAATGCAATCTCAGGCATTGGAGGTTACCTGATTGGAGCATCCACGACTATAATACCCTTCTGCCGAGCCATATTATCAATTTCTTGACCATTGATTCCCCAGTTCACCTGCTCGCTTTTGCGTTGCAAGTTCAACACTGCCGTGATTCCCTGCGCGTACAAAGCAAAATCAGGCTAGCCTCCTTAACAACAGGAAGCAAAATCCACAAAAGATACCATGTGCCTCTAAAGAGCACTAGAAAATTTAGTAATAGAAATTCTCTTCAGATTTACAGTAATAACATCAGCTAGCCAGCACCTATAGAGCCTAGCAGAATACATCAAATAATTCCATCTAAGAGTATATATGGGAAGTGATTACTGTACCAAGTACCAATAACATGAACTACATGAACAACACGAACTATTTTAAAAATTCATGAAAGTGCATTCAAAATGTCAGATAGAATTAAACTCACAAAGTTATCGGCAAGATGTGAGATATCTTCTGCAGACTGAATGCACGAACCAACGTATATATAATCTGTCAACTGCAAAAAGCCCACATTCAAATATTATTTTCTTAAGTCCTCCACGCACAGACACGTCACACAAGCCGTTGAGAGCTCGATCAAGGAGGTACTCTTTCAACAAAGACACCGACGTTGCATGAGTTTGAACGATGATTTCTTAGAACATTTCATGAACAAAGCCAGAAGATGGTCTCAAGAGTAATGATGCTCACCTTGGTATAGGTATTGCCACGATAAGGCTTGTAAGTAAGATCATTTTGAGCACGTGCAAGGGCAGCTTGATATTCATCATTATTAAAACTGCCGTGAGACCATTCTGTCCCTGTATCCTCGTCCTCGTCTTCGTCACTGGCAGATGCTATTACTTCAAAATCGTCGTCTGCCTCAAAATCACCCAGCGGTCTGCGTCCAGAGAATGTTTCATAAGGCTCCTGAACCGCAGTTGCATTCGCTAGCCTCGTCAATCCTTTGGGCATTATGTACTTCGAACTAAACGTGAGAAATCCCACGGTTCCTCCTTGATACGGATACGCAAGAATGTTGCCGTTCCAAGTCGCAAAGGCAACTCTGCCTCCGTTAAACGGAATGTCCGCCTTTTTCTTCAAATCAGACTGCAGTGGTGGAGGAGACCTTTCAAATATCAAGCTCACAGGACCACTACGGCTCCTGATTGCCTGCCTGTTTCCACGTCATCCACACGACATCACTATCAACATGTTCACGATACCAATGACAAGTGAAATATAATTCTCCGGACGTTGTGAGATTTGTACTGCTAAAAACATATACAACCATACGAATTCTCAACCACAAAATGAGGGCATTCGCTTCGTATACGAGATTGTTATTGAAGATTTAGTATCTAAATGTCTGTATGAACAATATTCAAGCACAATTCAATCAGATCCAGGCAATGGTACCCCTCTCATGGAGGCGATCACAATGCAAAAACAAAGAAAAAAGAGCTAAAGCCATACATGCTACGCGAAAAATCCTCCACGTCCCACATTCCATCACCAAACACCGCACTCGTCTTCTTCAACACATCTCCCACCATTATCATCATAGTGCTCTCCGCGTTTCCCTGAAAAGAGTCGTCCAGCAAGGGCAGGTGAAAACAAAGAATTTACGAACTCTCGCACCTCTAAACCATCCATAAGCTAACCATTGAGATGCGTAACATTCTCTTCAACATGGCTGCGCTAGATATCCATTGCTCAAATTTTAGGGTGAAATCTCAGCGGGGTCGAAATTCGCTTCCTAGCAAACTATCGCATTGGTATAATCACTTTGAGGATGGCCAATGTAAAATGCAGGGGAAATAAATGTATAGGGCTCTAACATTCTCTCTCAAAAAGAATTAAAATCTCTCTGAATACCCCGCAATACAATACAAGGGTAAAGGATCGAATTATACATTTTTCGCGAGGGCTTCAACATAAACCTTGCCACTTAGCGTCTGCGCAAATCGAATTCCAATAGGCTTCTCGAGGGTGACCATGTACTCGTCCAGATTAATTTTAAACTTATTGTTCTTCACAACACCTGTTGCAACATTATTTGGAGAGGCAGCCCGAATGACCAGACTCCTCTTCCCAGCCTCCTCCTTCTTCACCCACAACCCAGTCGACGAAACTCTACCCCCGCCGGTTTCCTTCGAGCACGCCATTAAATGCGGCCTCAAAACCGAGTCTCGTCTCACATTCTCCCCAAGCAGCTCATTGCAAGTCGTCCAGCTGCAGGCAGCCGCCGCGGCAGATCGTCCTCCCCTCACCATCGATATCGGCACGTGCAATCCGCGACACCCCAACACACCATTCCCTGCGCCGATCCTCGACATCATCAGTTGCGGCTCCATTGTTACATGCCCAGCAGTGCCACACCCTGCTAATTGCGCCACAATTGGACACATCAGACCCCAGCTCTCTTTCTCCGGCAACTCCCTACACCGTCGACAAAAAGTCGAGCTGTCTAGGAACTTGCAACAGCTCCTCCCCACCTCTGACTACTACAACAACCTTGCATCACATGCTGCAACACATTATCGCGTCGTTGGTGATCGAGGAATTTGATAGTATGCGCGTATACTCGGTACACAGAATTGAAAGTCGCACGATCCTGCCCTCACCACCGGTCCTCCTCCTCGAAACAGAGAGAATCACGGTGATGGACACTCGAGGCTCTATCACCGCGAGGGCCTTTTCCCGGGTGGAATGGCTATCCCAGCTTCACACGCTTGCTGCCAAAACCGCGATGCCATGTCATCGATTTTCATCCATATATGTTGTTCAGTCCCATTGGATGGATGATATCATTAGTTTTTAAAATATCTTGTGTTGGGAAATAAAACTGGGGGCCAGGTGGAGGTCGTGATTTTTAAAAGGGAAATGAATTGATATAATCCCTGATTGACAGCCAAGTGTAATAGTAGTAGCAGTGGTGTGGCCACTTGGCTACTGTGGATACTTTGTTCCATAAAACAGTGAATAAATTAATTTTTTTAAAAATGTATTTCTGGAACATCTGAACCATTGCTCAATACAAGGTTTGCTATTCAAAAGCATGTTGGGGAGTTGAAGAAAAATCAGCATTCAAGGTTAACTTTTGTGTGGTACTTTCACCCATTAGAACAAAAATGAACCGTCGATGTAAAAGTAGTTGTAATAATGAGAAATGAACAAAATAGATTAAAGAATCTTACAAATTTTAAAGTTCTCTCTCTCTCTCTCTCTCTCTCTCTCTCCCTATATATATATATATATATATATATATACATTTATATTTAGCTAAGCATGTATTTTATAATATGATGTTGTGAGATTTTCAAGAAAAAATCTTATTTGTGCAACTTTTATAATTTGCTTTGACTTTTACATCATTAATGTCTTTTAAAAATAAATAAAATCAATGTTATTTAATAAATAATTTTTTTTTTTTTTTTTCTTATTTGAGACAGATTTGGGCTCTGCGGTTTTGGAATAATGATGGGATCAAATGCACTTTTATATATATATCATGAATAGTATTGTCTCCCAGATTTTCTATTGGGCAAGTCTCACAAAGAATTCTTGAAAAACAATTGAGAAATCATGTAACATGATTTTTTAAGTAATTATTTTAAAATAAGAAATGGAATCATCTATTTCATATTTCTCACTTTACACTATATTTCAAAGTCAAATACTTCTAAAAGAGGATTTTTTTATGCCAAGCATAAGACCTTGATAAGGCTTTCAAACCATGACCTTTCAAAATGGGCTTTTAGGGTACACACCCCATTATTCTTGTGAAAAATTTTAACAAAATAATCAAACCCATTGTTGCATGATTTTCATAATTTCAATATATAAATTGTGATATATAAGTTTAATTCGCATAAGTACAAAAAAGTTAACATGTTAAAAATAACTTTAACAATACACAATAGATGTTTGTCATTGCAAGAGTTTGAATAAGCATACTGCAGTAATCATGTTTTTTTCATTTGCTTACACTTTTGTGTTATATTCAATTTCACATTATATTATCATTGTCACAAGAGTTGATTCCTCTACTGACTTTTTAATAAAAACTAAATATTGGCATCAGAAAAAACAATTATAAGTGTTTTCTTGGTTTTTTGCACAAATAAGTGTACAAGGTAATTAAAACAATCAATAACTTCACATGATTTGTTTGTAAAGTTTGCTTCTCATATATTATTTTTACAAACAATTACAACTCAACTGTGTGTACGTAAGGGTGTAGACAATATATCCACCATTTTTTTTTGTGCATGAGACCACTTAAATGTTTTTACCATTCCAAAAATTCTGAAGTCCAAAACATATATCCAATCTCACTATTCTACATTCTACGCAGAGAAAAAAAATTCACACCATTCACAAAGACTAATTTCAGATATGAAATCGAGGCTTAAGTAACCAATTTCATTCTATTAATACACACCGCGGACCTAGACACAAGGTCCTTTTCACATTGCGAGTCACCCCAGAACCCAGAAATTTAGCCATTCATTACGCCAAAGAAACTTCCATGTGTTTTCAGCTCAAAACTGGGCTAAGCATGTATTATTCTCTGGAATAAAAACTAACCTACGAGAACACATCCCCTATTTCGAGATTTTTCCAAAAGCCCAAATCCCAATTCCAACTCTAATTCCCATGCTTTACACAATATTTGAATGTATATATCTAAAGCCATCCTTCATCAAAATTGGACCAATCCTGAAGGACCAGAGTCCAAGTCAACGCCTCGTCATCAGATCCAGTGGTGCTGGCGTAATGTAAACCGTCATTGGTGTGAACGCGAATGGGCTTCCCAACCCAGAGTATCGATATGAACATTCCCTCACAGGGAATATGCTTCTGGACTGAAAATAAAATCGTGGGATACGAGTTCGACGAAAGCGTGGGATACATACTGACGAGGACGACGGAAGTGTGATGACTAGGGGACGTAGGCGTGGAAGCTTCCGTCGGGGGGACTGGTTTCCGTCAGCTGTTCGTCACTATTTGCGTTGCCTTGAGCAGCAAGTGAGGTGAGGCGTAGTGGTTATGGCCTTGGCCGTCACGGGCGACCCTTCATGGGGAAGGGCGGTGGCGGTTGTTTGATCGGGTTCGATCGTTGCTTGCTCAGCTGATTCGGCATCCTTGGAAATCTCGTTTCTTGGTCTCTACTCTGTGACAGCGCGAAGATGAAATTTTAGCCCTGCGTGAGTCGGCTTGGGATTTATATGGAGTGCTCTCCCTGTTTAGCAATATAGGGCGTTGTCTTCACTGCTTCTACTCAGCGTCAAGTTTTCGTGAGTTAGGAGAGGGTTGAGGCGTCCGAAGCTTGGGTAGATTCTTATTCAGAGAGAGAGGGAACGAGTGTGTGCGTGTATGTGTGTGAGAAAAGGAGAGAGAGATAGAGAGAGAGAGAGGGATTATTGATTCAATTTGAGTCGGCTATTGATGGTTTGTAAAATTGTTGAGAAGGGCAACCCTCTGCTTTTGTAAAGAAGGGAATTTTGTTGTTGGGGAATTTGTAGAAGGGTAGTTGGGATTGTAGGGGAGGGTCTTCAGAATGAACAGAGGTTGGGATGGGGTTGGTTTTCGATATGAGGATGGTAACGATGGTGAGGTTAGTCTTGCTGGTGTATTACCTTCCTGGGGTTTGGGTCACGAATTTGCGGGAAAGCGCAAAGAGAGGGACAATTCGAGTGATGTTCCCGTAGGCGGGAATGGTTCTGGGGAGGTTACTAGGGTATGTATGATGAAACGCTCGAGGACGGAGGTGGAGGAGGGAAAGAAAGTTAGTGAGGGGTGCGACAGGACCCAAAACCGCGTGCACGACAGGATCCTCAAGGGGTCTTTGCGAAGTGGTAAAGCGGGAATCGTATCTCGTCACATTTGTGCCCAACTTGACAATTCGGAATCGAAGGACATGGCGCAAGAGAATTGCGCAGAACGAGCGGGGCGGGGGACCATCGACAAGTCTTGGCGGTTCATGTACTTCGAGAAAGGCAATTGGGTCAAGTACTCTGAGGAAGCCAATGCTGCTGTGTGGAAGTCGTTTAGAGCAGGCCGTTCGACGGCTGAACTCACTGTACAAAAGCGCGTGTATACGCTGAATTTCCCACAAATGGTGCAGGTGAATAAGGAAACAGGTTACGTTCGGTCGTTAGCATGGATTGACGATGCTGGGGAGATGAAGCGTCCTGCAAATCCTATCGCTGGTCCAGCTGGGTCAGGAGCGAAATCGGGTGCCTTCGGTTTTGGCATTCGGGTGAATCAGCATGGTGGAACATGGCGAGATGGTGCCACCGACTCGATTTCAAGTATTTTATTAGGGTCGGATGTTGGTCGTGGTTGTGGTTTAGGTCAATGGGCTGCTGCTGGAAATCCTGTAAGTGGAAGTGGCGACACGGGTTGTGATTCTATTGACGCGTCTGGCGACGATGAGTTTACTAAGCTCACGTTAGGTCATGTTAGCTTCAACTTCCAAGCAGATCCAGCGGACTCGAAGCCTGCCGTAGCGAGCGTGGAAGACAAGCCTCCGAAATTTGTGAACACTACTACCTTTTCGTCACAGAGGCTCGTTGGACTGGAACCTGGAGACAAAGACTTCGAGAATGTCAAAAGAATATTTCTTAGTGGAATTGGAAATTTCGCTAGTGGTACGACTGTCACTGGAATTCATTGTGACTCAAGTCCAGCAGCTGTGGCACGACGGGAAGCATTTGAAAGACAGAGGGAATTGAAGGAAAAGGTTCGTGGTAATGCAAATGTGCGGTACGGATGGCATGGGACCTCCAAGAAAGGAGTGGAAGGCATTTTTCTTCATGGTTTTGGACAACCAAAGACATCAAAAAATGGCTCTGCTTATGGAGTTGGTGTCTATCTGGCCGTGGAGAATCAATCGTTTGTCAGGTATGAGAAAGGAGCAGTTTAACGATTCCAGAAGTTTTTTCGTACTATGGTTTTGGAATGCAATGGTTAGGAACGCTGGCGTGAGATGTTGTACTTAGGTACCAATTGATGTAATTTTTTCTCCTCGGTTATTCATGGAGTGTTCTTTACGTGTGTTGCAGTGCTATTTATGCGGATAATGACGAGAATGGCGAGCAACATGTGGTGTTATGTCAGGTCATCGCAGGGAATTCCGAGCTTGTCAAGCATGGATCTGAACAATTTCATCCCAGTAGCGAATCTTTTGATACAGGGGTGGATGACACCATCTCACCGAAAAGGCTGATTGTTTGGTCTACCCATATGAATACTCATATACTGCCACTCTATGTGGTCAGCTTCAAGTTACCCCCTCGTTGGCATCAAATGATGGCCACGTTAAATAGCAAGAGAAAGGGTTCCTCCACGTTCTGCCACCCAGTCCTGGAAAAGCGTTCCTTTCCTATAAATCAGGTGAATTGCTGAACGAATCATTGATTTGTGGATTTCTGATCCCTCTGTTGGGCTTACGTAGCTTGGACACTATTGTTGCCTTCCTCTGTTGCATACGCCGTGTGCTAATGTTATTTTGTGGTCTTCATTAGTTTTGGTTGGTCTCACGATGACTTAACTCCTAGTGTGTGAGCTTGTCTGGAGCACTACGTTTCACATGTTGTCTTTTCTACTTGTCCTTTTTTGAGCTGTTCTTGTACTAATTAGTCTGTGCACTACAGACATGTGGAATGGCTGAAAATCTGCGCAACAAAGAATACGGATGTATGAATCGTCGCCAGCGTCCAACATCAGCCTTCATCAGCTTCCGTGATTTATTTGCCCTTCTTCAGCTGTTACTAACTCCAGAGCAATGTCTTGCATTGAAGAATTGCCATGTCAAATATGAGGTAATTCTTTTTCATCTTCCCCGATTATTATTTAACGTTGGTCATATATCCTTGCAAGCCATTGTATTGTATCTTCTGCTTGTGTCCTTTTCTCACATTTTTTATTTTCAATTTTGTAGGCTGGTGAAATGCCTCGTGGAATGCTTGTCCAAGAGATACAGAAGATGGTTGGAAGAGACTGTTTAATCCATGCGATACAAATGTGTCAAGGATTCCAGGAAGGCCAAGCGGCCTCAGATGTCAAGGCGCATTGAGAGAGCTACCTTCTGAGACAAGCTTTACATCGATTTTTCTGGGCGTGGATGCACTGATGTACATACCACACTGTTTTCAAGTGCTAGCCAAGAATTTCATTTGAGAAGTTGGCAATGACAATTTGCTACAAACGTAGCTATATCCTTACAAGGCGCTGCTGTTGCTTCTGTTTCATTCGTTGATGAAATGGGTGACTTTAGTTGCTGATATACTATGCGACGTGTACCTTTCAGAAGATTACCACATCCAGACGATGTAGAAAGACCTCGTGTTCGTGGAACTTTGTTTTCTTGTCAGAGATCACCCTCACTACTCATACTCGAAGACTATCTTATATAACATGGTGAAATCCTCGTTGCAACAATTGTACAGGATATTCGGTTGCTTTAACTCTGTTTTTGGCCGCTTTATGTTGTAGCTTAGAAAGCTTAGGGGGTTGAAAGGCCAAGAATGCCCAACTCCTTCGAGATTTGTCACTTCGCACTCAATATAGTATAGAGGATGTTGTTATAAAAATATGAGCCGATTCTTTGCTAAAATAGGGTTTAATTTTCACAAGCATGATAGTTATCTCATCCCAGACAGCTTTGTCAACGCGTCGGTTAAGGGCACAGGTACTTCAGTACAACAGGCTAGACTTGAGACGAACTTGCTTCCTCGCTATTGATCGATTTAGTGATCGATTTAGCTCATTCGCTCGTGTATTGTGCATGAGCATCGAAATTGTTTTATAAAATGCAGAGACTTCCCTTTTTCCATGAGTGTTAACAGACTCAGTTGCTCTTAAACGAGTGGTATGATGCTAAAACATTCGGATTCTCTCAAGACTTTTAAAATAAATGCCTTCCAGAAGTGTATTATTTTGTTCTGTTTCCCTGCACTTGGCTTGAGCAAGATTTACAACAATTTTCGTGTGTGTGTAGGGGAGATGTTATGGAGGTAGAAGAATTCAGAGGCATTCCAGAGATGATTGGCATGACGTCTTGATATGAAAAGAACCATTCCACATTGTCCCCTTCCTGCACAAATGAATATTCATTGAAGTTAGTGCGCCAGCATGGGACAGAGGAAACATGAGCAACAGAAAGGCATCATGTGTCACTTCTTCCCTTCCAATCCTCCACATATTTTCTCACCCTGCCACAATCTCAATTTCTTTCACTTGTGAGACAAATATGAAACCGGAGGCATGGGGCCAGGTTTTGAAATTCCTTAAATAATTGGTAGAAGAAGTTTGGTATTGTTAGGCAGTTAGAATGAATCAAACATCTGTTCATAACAAATTTAAGAAACTCCGTGAAACTACTTTGATCACGAGTGTCAAAGGAAGAGGAGGATGGTTTAGATGATTGTGTTTGTAGAAAGCTAGAGGACAGTCTGTAAAGATGTGTTCGAGTGTGGGAATTTTCACTGGAGAGTGTTAGCAAAGGTGGGTGGAACAAAAAATTGGAAACTCTAAGATACCATGTTTTAATGAATTCTCTTTGTTAGCAAAGGAGGGGGAAGATGGTTTCTCTCATGCATTGGTGGATGCAAAAAAAGGGCAGATGGAATGAATTGTTCCTAAACTCTCATATGTGTTTTTTCTCCACTCAATTGTGGATGTGGTCCAATATGTCTATCATGTTAGTAGCTTAGAGAAGATTGTGGGTAGTAATTCTTATTCATTTGGAAAAGAAAGTATATCATTAGAATAGTTTCTTCCTATTTGAGGTTCATCCATGAAGTAAGGCAAGGTATGATACAACCCAAATTATTGTGCAAGACATTAGATTAGCACATTTAACACATTTTTAACAATCCATTGAAACTTTCCACGAATTTATGGTCAAATTCATACAAATTGAGCAAAATGACATAAATTCGTATATTCTTTTGGTAAATGATTTACATTCTATCTTTATTACTTAATCCATGAAGTAAGGTAAGATATAATACAACCATTTTCTATGTATAGCCACATATATTTTTAATCTCTTAAATTCAACTTTATTTGTATTATTATAAAAGTTGTTATTTTATTTTATTTTACATTAAGTGTATTTTAATCCAAAAAAATGTTAGCTAAACAATTGTTTCTACATTAACATAAAATAACTATAATTTTATGAGTATAAAACGTGTACATATCAAAAAAATCTAATGAAAAACATGCAAATAATAACTACTTCTATTATATTTGTTTTTTAAAGAAATAATTCATCTAAATTTATCCTCGTGTTTTTGATAGCATAGACCTTAAAAACCAATATTACATAGAATATAACATACTTTACAATTAATTTACTTGTACACTTAATGCTATTAGAGAAACATATTTGCACATTGATGATTTTTTTCATATATTATGAAAATGATAGTTTTTATATTGTAGTTGCAATCAACAAATAAATTATATAAGAAAAATATTTGCAATATTATTTAAATGCATTGATAGACAATTAGTTTTATAATTTTTTTAAGTAAACATCTTATAAGAATTAAAAAAATATATATTTTAAAAATACGGCTATTTTTTTCTATCTTTTAACAACTATCTTTTAACCTGGTCTTTTTATTTAAAGATTATTTAACATACAAAACTATATTATAAATTAAAATCAATTCATATTATTTTTACTTGTTACATAAATATTCATAATTATATAAGTAACTTCTACATGTTATTTTAAATTTTAATATATATATATATATATATATATATATAGTGCAAAGTAGAATTTAAATAAACTAAGCTTGTACTAACATACTAAAAGTAATAAGTATGCATCTTCAAGGTATAAATGGTAGTAGTAGAAAACACACTACAAATCATAAATAAAAATTTCAAATAAGTTGTAACTTAATACCTATTACAATTACTAAGTAGGTAGAAGAATTATAGATATATACCACTAAAGAAAATAATAATAATAACAATAATAATACCAAGTATACATAGACTTCTAACAAATCCAAGGCTAATTAGGCCTCTTTTATTAATAATTTGTGATAAAATTCAAAAAATACTATAAAAAGTCTATAACAAATATACAAATTAAACCATGTATAATTACTATAAATTGTGTTAATCTACAACTAAAGAAGTAAGAAAACATCCTAAAATTTCTTCCAAAGTTTCAATTTGAATAACATGAGTCTTTTTTGGATTTTGAAGTATTTAACACAATAAGACTTAAATAGGAATTCAAAGACCTTAAGAACCCTCTTGCGTCAAGGACATAAATTACAAACAACCAAAGAATCAATGTATTCTTGTGTCACTAGAAAAGAGCCAAAAATCACTCTAAAATAGTATAATATTAAAACTATAATGACTATTACTAAAGGCACAAAGACTAGAGACTCTTGAAACAAGACCAAGAATAAGAAATACATTAATAAGAATAAAAAAACCTTCACTTTTCCAACATGTTTCCAACTTACAAGTCACATGTCTGATTTGCAAGATGACATTTCTATAACTGTGCCATATAATCAACTTATATGATAAGTGACTAATATATGCAATATGCTATCAACTTGTTGAGTAAGTTTTTAACCTACCAATCATCTATTAACATTTAGAAAATCAAATCCAAGTCCATGAAGCTTTTAAGAAGATTTTCTATAAGATATTATCAAAATTTAATTACTTCTACTTCTACCTAATTCTTCTAATCTAGATAATTTTTAATGTAAATATGTATGCTTGTAACATCTTGCAAAACTTCTTACTTGACTTAGAACCTAAGTCAATAATTGTAGTGCAACTATGTCCCACAACAAAACTTAAGATAGATAACTATATTATTGATAAATACCACTCTTTTGTTTTACAAAGCTTTTGTAATCTTTATACTAAGATGTTACATTTAGATTGTAAAACAAGTTCTATTAGCATATTGATTTAATATACAAGCTATGATTTTATAATATCTACTACATTTAAATAATTTGTAGCCACCACCACTTACATTGATATACATGTTAATAATATAAATATAAAATTTATATTTTTATATTTTTTATTAAAATAATTAGATATAATTAATGATTAAGTATAATATGAAAGGATATAAAATATTAAGTTTTATATTTATTTTATACATACTAAAATTTATTTTTAAGTTCTTCATATAATAAAAAATAAATGGTATGAGGTATTTAAAAACACTTATTTTTTCAAATACATGATATCAAGGACATGAATCTTAAAAAAAGAAATCTGTTATATATTCTTTTTTTATTCAAAAGAACTAAAAAGTCACTCAAAAATGATATAGTACTAAACTAGAATGATTATTGTCAAAGATAAGAAGACTAAATAGTCTTGAAATAAGACTAAGGACTAGAAAGGCATTGACAAGAGTGAAGAGTGCTTTACTCTTGACTCCATATGTACTATCTAATTAAGAGCTACATAGTGATGTTCTATAAGATCTCTAACATGTGTTGACTTTGCTAGACACATGTTTTAACTTGTAAGGTAAGTTTTCTACATGTGCGCCACATAATTAACTTGTTCTACAAGCTATCAATATATGTGACACATGGTTAACTTATTGATCAAGGTTCTAACTTACCAATCAACTACAAACACATGTAAAGTCAAAACTAAGTTTATGAAGCTTCTAAGAAGCTTTTCTATAAGATATTGTGAAATTAATTTACATTTATCTATTTCTACTTAATTATATAAATAATTATTGAAATAAATACATATATACATGACATTATTCCTTCTTCTAGAGACAAGTTCTATGAAGAGTGGTGATCATCTTGTTATTCTTCATGTTAATTTTGATAGATATTTTCAATAATTATTTATATAATTAAGTAGAAATAGATAAATGTAAATTAATTTCACAATATCTTATAGAAAAGCTTCAACTCTCTTTGCAATATTTGCAAGATTCTTTACTGGCTCCCATGTGCATTTACTAATATCATATCCATGCCTATGAATAAGATATTTTGACCTATTTTGATGCCACTTTAAATCTAAGATTTCTTCTATCTCAAATTTTTGATTAATATTCACTTCTATAGGAAGAGGTGGCATTTATCTTCTTTTCAAGATATTCATTATTTTATATGGATTAAGAAGATACATGTAGAATACATAATGGATCTTTATAGAATTTGATAAATGTAATCAATAAGTAACATGATTGACTTATTCTCAGATAAAAAAAGCTTTAAGTTTACAATAGTCCAACATATTAGAAGAATAAGTAGTTTTGATATTACAACAAAATAACCATACCTTATTGCCTATGTTGAATTATAGTTGTTTTTTGCAATAGGTATCTATATTATTTTTTTTATTATTCTTAAACTTCTTTTAATTGCACCTTTATTGTTGCACATAGCTTTGACAAATGATTTGTTAAATCTTTTATTGCACAATTATCAACTTTTAAAAAATCAAAAGTATCAAGTCATGAATGATAACCATAATTAACAAAAAAAGATATTTATTGATTAAAAGAATGTACCAAATTATTGTGTGTAAACTCTACCAATCACAAAAAATTTATCTAGTCATCTTGATGATAATTGACAATATACTTCAAATTTTACTCTAAAACTTAATTCACTCGTCTTATTTGTCCATCAATTTGAAGATGAAAAGTTGAAGAGAGCTTTATATCCACCTTTAAAATTCTAAAAATAATTCTAAAAATTCTTGATAAAAATTAAGTCCTTCAATCCAAAAAAATATCTTTAAACAATCCATGATATTGATAGATATTGTCAAGAAAAAGCTGATTTATTTCTTTACTTTTGATAGATTTTGTTCATAATATAAAATATGCTACCTTAGTAAAATGATCTATTATCACAAATATAGAATCATATAAACCTAAGACTA